TGCCCGATACTTCATCCACCATGGTATGGTTTAGGATTTCTAGAAAATGCTTCCTCCATCTTTGGAACTGTGTGTCCTCTGTAGCAAGTAGTTTCCCTTGTTTATTTCTGGCAGGCCTATTGTTTGCAAAACATCGCTTCTTTGAAAGAGTTTTTGTCACATCATACAGTGTTTTCAGATCACTCTTATCAGCTATTTCTTGTGCTTTTCTAGCTAGGCCTTTAATAAACTTTCTCTTGTACCTTCGGAACAGTCTTTTAGTCTGCGTGTTTCCCTCCTTGTTATCTAGCCTTCCTTCATCTTTGTGGTCTCTGATGCTGCTTTTGAAGGTTTTTTTTTCACCTCTAATCCAAAATAGCTTCCCAGGTTTCGCTTGAGATCCAATCAGGCTTGTTTTTCTCTTTCACACCAAGAACACCCTTGGCATTCTTCATATCGTTCCACCTCCTTTCGAGGTGTATTTTTTTCTTCTTTCATGGAACTCATAGTCATTAAGGTCTTCATTATTGTAAGGAGTCAGAGTACTAAATATGTTTGACAGCTCTAGAGTATACTGAGATTTAATTCTCTCATGTTTAAGTTAACCTGTATCCCATATTGTTCACATCCGAATGTTTTTTTGTTATTTTAAATCCAATTACCGCTGTAATTAGATAATGATCACTAGACACATCAGCTCCTCACCTGTTATGGATATCCAGCAGCAAATTCCTCTAGGTTCGGTTGATGCACAGATGTTTAATTTGATTTTCTGTATTCAAATCCGGCGGTACCCAGATTGCCTTATGACAGTTTAATATAAAAATAATACCTACTGAATATATAAGTCTTGTTTAAATAAATAATATGTATTATACCTATATCATATTTTCTGTAGTTCTCTAAAAATTATTTGTTTGGCATCGTTAAATACTATTCTAGACTTTGAAAGTCCAGAAGAACTGCTTCTAGAGCTTCATTTTTCACTCCTATAGAAAATTGATGACAATATAAGAAATAATATTTAAAGAATTACAATAAATGATGTTAGTTCTCTAATTCAAATAGTGTAAAAACCACACACGATATTTTTTGCTTCCTCACTACTGAAACTGAGGATCCTTTGAATTTGTGAGGGAGGTTGTCAGATTGGAAGGGTTAAAACATAAATAAGCAGAGGGCTGCTTATCCGACCTTTTTCCCTCAACTGGAATATTTTGTCGATTTATTGCGTAAAGTCACTAAGTACATTTTTGAGCTGTTGTTTAAGCAAAATTTTGTGAATTTCGACCTTATTTATAGATAACAATAAACAGTGTAAGTGCAATAATAATAATAGACTTTTATTATGCGATATTATATTATATAATATTATACAATTTTACTATTTAAAATATATACATTTTTACTACAAGACACACAATTTTCCTATTAACAATATAAACACTTTTGTACTTAACATCCACACAGGCCTTCCCAAAAAGGGAGTAATAGTCTAATCTTCCTAGCTGACCAATTCTATAGAGAAGAGACTGTAAGTGCAATAAAGTGACAAATCCTTTTATACAACAAGTGTACAATTTTGTGATTTCCAAAAGTGAAAATTCGTCGAATTTCTTAGTGGTTTAAAATTATGAAATGTCAATTAATGATTATTTGTAATAAATTAAAGATTCGCCCGAGTTATTTTCCAAAAAGATCAAGCAAATCTAGCATTTTGGAATTCTGTCTTTGTAAATACATTTTATGAAAGCTAGTAAAGACGAGAACGCAGATTTATATGTATATATATATATATATATATATATATATATATATATTTATTTATTTAACATAGGCATTAAAGTATTTTGAATTCCATTACACCTACATAAACACAGGGGTGTCCATGCTCTCCCCCCCCCCCAAGGTGGATGGCACAAGAACCTACCCTCCCCTCCCGCCTTCTCCACAAACTTCCAAGATATATTATTGGTTGTATTTTCTTAAAAACAGAGTAAGTAAAGATAGAATTAGAAGAAACGTAGATCATACACAATTACACTTGCTACGGTCTGTTCCACGTTTTCTCCTTGTCCTTTCAAAATTTTCTTTCCTAAAATTCCTAAATCGGCCAAATATGCCCTCCTCAAAAATTCAAAAACTCGTCAAAATATACCGCACTCAGAAATTTTGATGGCGCAACTAGCTCCATGAAACCCCCTTCTGGGCACCTCTGTATAAATATAATTTACACATCCGCGCGCGCACGTACACACTCACTCACAAACACACCCCCACGCATACACGCATTCACACAAACATGTTTGCAAATTTAAATTAATTTTTGCTCTCAGATAGTATAAAATAATGTCTTATTTGCGATTGTGTTTGTTTCTTTTGAATTTCAACCAACTCGTTGTAGCCTCGGTTTCTTTCCTAAATTTCAAAGTAGTAACGTTTTTTTTTTTTTAGGCGACAACAAATTTTAAGTATACATAGGCCTTCTTTTCGTGTAAATTGTAAACACCATTCATACTCTTATATTCCATCTTATGCTACCTTCTGAATCACCAAACAACCGCAGGTTGAGCTCACACCGTATTAAGCTCAAGCTCCGTGAGCAGCGGATGTTTGTGTCAATGTCACAGTTTTTCTCAAGCGACTCCAAACTGAGGCTCGCAGGTGAAGTAAATGATGGAGGAAAAAGTTATTATTTAGTTGTTGAATAAGATAATCTGTCACTTGAATAATGATTATAGGGAGTTATGATCACATCCACATTATTAAGAGGAAAATTAATCGAAGTAATTAGAAGGAGAAACATTTTGTACGACACTTCATTCACATGGTGACTACTTAAAACTAAAATTGAAACCGCAGATTTGGAAATAAGTTGCCAACCAAATCTGTCTGAAAACTGGTATGTTTATATATTAATAATTTATTCTTGGACAAAAAAACGCTATTACTTTCTAGACATTTAAAAGGGGATTTACAGTAAATGAATAAACTTTTTGCCTTATAAACACAGCAAAAGTTTCTTCACATTCAATAGACCTGGACAGATTACATCCTTCTGCAGCTATAGATTTCTAATTGAATTCATACAATTGTTTTCTGGTTACTCTATAATAATTTATATTTTTATCATCAGAAAAATTCTCTTTTAGAACGAATTCTCCAGGCGTCTTTCGTTTATTCAAGTGACTACATCTTGATTTTTTTTTAATGGAGTAATAAGTTATTAATCCCGTCTTCTTCATCATCGGAATGAATAGAAAAAAAAATCAGTAATCACACCCATTTGAAAATGTCAAATTAACAATACAGTGGTCCACAGTTAAGAAAAACTGCGGCTCAAATTTCGCTCACAGCCGCAGGATCACTCCTCACGGTCGATTTAATTCCAATTTCCTGTATTTAATTCTGCTTCCTGTGTGACATCCGTTCACCAAGCAGCGTCTCAACTTGCGCCCAGCCTTAGTATGTTTACCTCCTTACTAGGCCAAACAAAGTTTATAAGTTAAAAATTATAAATTAATATATTGTTATACGAGTATGTTTTACTATCACTAATCATATAGTATCATACAACTATTATACACAGACCATAAAGTATACTTCGTCAACTGTTTTGGATTTGGACTAGTGTGGTTATTTGTTAGGTTGTTTTGAATTTATTTAGTTAATACTAAAAGATTTTATATTTTGAAGGCGACCTTGCATCACATATTCTCACATGTGCATCACATGTCTCCTTGCATCACATAGCGGAAATACACCCGGCAAGTGCTTTTTTTGCCAACCCCCAAAAAATCACATCAATCACAATCAAAAATTACATAAAGACCTGTCTTTCCTCCACCTCCGTCTCGAACATTCTGATTCGTGACAGCTCGTTGGCTTTCTCATTGTCCATGAGAAAGGAGATCCAGACTGAAATCTACTTTCTTTAACAGATCCTTGTCTCCAATGCCTGCTTACACTCCCTTAAATGTGTGTAGGCTCTTTAGGAGCTACGAGGGCTTGTTGTGATGACTGACTATTTGAGAAGGCAGTAATCCAGGGCTTTAACAGTCGATGACTACAGAACATGCACTTGCAAATAATATGGCAAATACTCCTGTTCGAAATTCTAGTATATTTGCCCAGTGGAATGCTTGATTCTGCACCTAAACTTCTGTATACACTCCCTCATCCGTTTAGCCAACGAAGTTCTTCAAACCGTGAGTGAAACAGGATACATTGTCATTTTAGTTTCTACTAGGCTCTATGGTAAATCTAAAGAACAATACCACAAAATGAGAAGCTCCTTTTCCACCACTTTGGCTATCTTTTATTTATTCCCATTGCCTATTATGCTTCATTATTAACAAGCACTTCACACTTTTTTCACTTGTAATCCATAAGTGTAATGTCAGCGTTGTGGAAGCGCCTGGATATCGATCCTCCAGTTTTCTACAACCCTACTGTAAGGATTTTAAAATCATTTAACAAACAGATAACAGTTGGAAAACGGTGTTATGGTTTAATGGAAGATCCAAGATAGTACAAACATATATTAGGAATGTTTCGGTAATGTAGTTTCGTATGAAGATGGAACACAGTTACACCATCAAGCCACAGAAAGCCCTAAGTACTCTGTATGCCAGGAGAATAAAATGACCTGCACTTCCCAATGAGCCCAGTTCTGTCCAATGTTCCTGATGTAGCTATTTCCTTGGAAGCCATAAAATCCAATTGCACGAAAGCACTTTAGTGTGTATCCTATGATATGAATTGAAAATATTTGCATAAAGCAAATGTCGTTTTAAATTTCGATTTATTTTTCAGTTTTCAGGTAAAACAATTAATTTATATTACTTTGACGAAGCGGAAGATTAAGTATTACAATAATTAATCAAGCAAAAAACTCTACGAAAACAGAAACTCACCAATTAGAAAACCAATGTTGGTAATTTATGTTCTTTGTAAATATAATGTTAAAAGTGCTTCCTATTAAATCATTCCATGGATTAAAAGGTCAAAAAAGTTTATAATTGATTTTAACATTTTTATTTTATATATTTACATATATATGCTTCCCCAACTCCCAAAAAGGGTCACTATTCCTTCTTCTTCATTGGAGGATGAGGTGGAAAGGGCATCAAATTGGGGCATTTTTCGATTATTTTCTTCTCATCGTTGCATGCGTCGTCTGGAAGCAGAATAAATATCGTAAGTATACATCGTATGTTTTATTAAATCTATTCAAACATAAACACATACTAATACTTACTGTTTTGCCATTTTTCAGAAGGACATTTCTGAAAAACGAAAAACAATTTTTTTATAAGTATAAACTAAACAACATATCAAACATGTTTTTGTTAATATCTTTTGAAATATATATTGCTCACCAAATACATTTGCTTGATCATGCACTTCGCGAAATCATGGGGAATAGGGTTACATTTTCCGTCCTTGTCGTCAACTTTAGTTTCATCTAGAAAATGCAAGCAAATGTGCGAATAAACGGACAAATACATCTATTTACAATATTATATAAACTACGGGTATATTAAATAATAAAATTACTAAAATAATATATAACACATCTGAGCAACGAGTACCATCAGATGCTTGAAAAAAAATCAATTAAATAATTAAAATGTGTGATAGGCACAAATGGAATGAATCTTTAACTCCATAAAAATGAACGTGATTGAAACATGAACATAATCATCTCAAGAACATCTTTAAAAAATGTTGAATGAAAATGAAGCTTCAAAAATAAATATGCATTGTTATTCAGCTTCAAGAATTGTAAAATTGAGAGTGCATTTACTCCACGTTATATTTTTTCTTCTATCATTTTAGTAAACTTCAACTTATTTATAAAAAAATTAAAATCTTCTTCATTAGTTTGAATTTATGACTTACTGCTCTTTTCGTAACAAAACTTGGTAGCTTCCAAAGCTATGGGTTTCCAGGTGCTGTCAGGTGCAAAACTGTCCACCAATTTGGTTATAGCTTCTTGGTTCAGTTTCGCATCAGTCTAAATAAACAAACATCAAAGATATTTATTAAGTCTAAATAGAAATTCAAGGCATATGTAATCTTGTTATTGATTTAAAGAAGTATACAGAACCGTCCCCACAACCTTTGAAAGAATAAAATTCCTATTGTAGCAGTCTCGAATTTGTTACTGCCATGTGTCAGTTCTATCTTTTCCTTAGTTACCACCATAAGCACAGACAGTAAAATGTTGAAGGGGTCAGAATATCGTTTCACCCCTCAATAATATGAAGTAAAATAAAATTAAAATTGATAAGAAATAAGCTACACGAATGAATGAAATATTTAAACTAAAATCGATTAAAAAAACCGACTGGTTGGCTAGCCTAAGGCCTATATAACGTAACTATTTTATCACGACCTAATTATTCATATTATTTTAATGTTCATTTATATTCGGAGATAACATTTTACTACTCATTCACCTCTCATTTGGACATCTCAATTTTCACGTTATTTTCTTATACATTTTCTGCGATAAAATTCATAATATTTTTAATAAGTACAAGTATAAAAATATATTGTTGTAGAGGATGTTTTTATAGACATTTTTGCTTAACTACTTAGACTATGAAAACTTTATATTTTTATTTCGAGGTTGTGCAAACTAAGAAATCAAAAATATTTTTCAGGTTTTTAACATTATAAAAGTTATAGAAATGTACCTATTTTAGGAAGGTAGTCTATTCGATCGATTCAATATAATTTTGTTGATTTTTTACAAATAATATAAACTACAGCGATTATTTTTTTCCATCGCCCATCCAATCAAAATAGAAAGTCTACGCCTATGGTTACCACTAGTTTCTAATTTAAGTAAGAATCTTTTAATCACTGTTCATATAATAACAAGGTAATGGTAAAAATCAATAATAATAACAAAGGAAAAGAAAATGAAAGTAAAGTCCACGAAAAAAATGCCTTTAGTATTTGGAAATAAGAATAATTGGTCATTTTCACAACAACTATTTTATTTATGAAAGCTCTTGGAATTGGGGCGTTTTCAATCTGGAAGGTGCAAATTTTGTCTATTTAATTAGGTACTAAAAACTTGTAAATACCCATTTGCTTTCTACTAGGGTCGTAAGATAATTTGATGATAAAATCGATAAAATATGTGGCCTACAAAAATATTGGGCCGTTTGTCGTATATAACCTCGTAACTTTAAACATTTGGAGGAGTAGGTCAGGCCAAACGGCTCAATATTTTTTAATGTCAATTTTTTCTCGATTTTATGATCAAATTATCTTACGATTCAAGTAAAAAGGGGTCTTTCCCGTGGACTAATACAGTCAATTTAAAAGGAGATGGTTAGGAACTGAATGCAATTGCAAATCGTGATTAGTTTATAAAATAAACTATATTATCATTATTATTAACTGAATGAAGCTCCCAGTACTTGTAAAACGCACAACAATTTTTTTTTCCAATCCTCAAAAGTCTTTCCTTCTTATAACTTCTTCTAATGAAGACAATATTTGAATTAAAGTTGGAGTAATAACTTACCATAAGGCCAGACTTGTTGAAGACGCAATCATCCATGCACTGAAATTGATCAAAAATACGTTTGAAAAGCCATATTGTTAAATGTTAAATATAAATTGTTCAATATTATATTGATTTACTAACCGTCATGAATAGGTGCGGGCCTCCATGATGTGGTGGTGGTGGTGGTGGAGGAGGTGCTCCACCGGCTGATGGAGGTGGTGGTGGTGGTGGGTGTGGGTGGTGATGTGGCATTACTGAGGAAACCAAAATTTATATTTATTTAACAACTTGATGAGCAAATTTAAATATTAATCTATTAACAAGTAATAAGTAAAATGTTGTTAAATACCCACACAAAATTATTAATTAGCCACAATTACATTGCCGTAAGATAAATAATCTGGTGCGGTGCGCGCTTCACACAACTTTCACTTACCACCCTCTTCTTAGCAGAAATAAATATTTTCAAACAAAGTAAAAATTATAGACGCTATAATTATTTATATTTCATTATGGGTATTTTTATTTGTACAAGTACCCTTATATATTCAAATTTTAATATTTATATCGGTGTAATCTATTCAATTAAATATTAAATGATACCAACAATAGCATTTATGAAAACCACATATTTATATAATATTGTCGGAGTCCGTATTATATTAAGCTCATGTTAATGGAAGCGTGTTATACCCTTCGGGCGAGCTCGGGTGTGATCAATTACAACTATTCTCCGTTACGATTTTTTATTTCCCCTTTAGTTAATTATCAAATTCTTTCATATTTTATATTTAACTATCTTTTTATTAGAAATTAATATGAAATTGTCAATCATTTCAAATAAAAAAAATAAAAGGTACTTTAGAGGAAGCTAATATTGAAAACTATCCATTTAAGCCCTATTAGAGAACATCAATCAGAATAAAAACTACATTTTATTTAAAACTACTTAATTTTACACTGATAGAATGAATTTGTAAAAATGTGTTTAGCTCATGATATGAAGTGCCACTTCCGGTCAGTCGATTTTGACGAAAAAGTTACTGTAACATCCCTAGCACATAAAAACCTTAAATATGCAATTTCAATTTCGTACGACTTTTCGTTTTTGAGCTAGACTGTTAACACAAACACACACACACACACACACACACACACACACACACACACACAAACATACACACACAGACCATTTTGCAGAACTCGGTTATTTGGACTCAGGGGACCTCAAAACGTGTATTTCCGTTGAAAATTGAGATTAAAAAATGTTCACGTTCGCCAATACTTTCCTTTACTATATATTTCATATATAGGGAAGTGAAAGTGAAAATCTGGCGAGCACAACACACAACTTTCACTTACCCCTCTACTTTGAATAGAAATTGTTTTCTGGTAATGTCGAGCAATTATAAAATTTTTAAAGTGCATTTAACAGAGCTATAACTTAAATGTAAAATTGGGAAAGTCTACAAGAAGATTGCGAGAGGAGAAATGCTTTGGTAGGAGAGGAAAATTTTGGAATTCAGATTACAATAATTGTACAAACCCGAATAATAAAAAAATTAATAAATGTCTTAGTTCCATGCAGGGTTTTCAAAATCTTAAGTAATTTAGGTTTTCGATTTTTAAATAAAATCAGAAAGTTGTATAAATTAAGAGAAAATAAAAACCTGAATGACGCTAAAGTCATTCCAATACAAGTCACTATCATGGTAGCAATACATACCTTCAGGATGTTCGGATTTGATTTGCTCTTTGCATTCTTCGAAAATTGTTTTGAATTGATCGCTATCCTTGGCAATTGGATGCGGCATATCACAGCAGGTTGTCCTCTGTGAATTAAACAGAATAAAATATGACATCTGCAAAGTATCTATAGGTATAATGGTGACATAAGTTGATGTATAACTCACATCTTTGCCATGTTGTGGTGGCTTCGGTCTGCATTCTTCCGGAACGTCTTCGCCACCTGGTGGTGGGGGTGTTGGAGGAGGTTGTGGCCACTAAAAAATATCACCACAACATTACAAAAATATATACATTGTATTGGTTAAAATTTTGTATGAATTATAATTTTAATTTTATAACCCTGTACAATGTTCGTACAATTAAAAAAAAAAATTATTCCATGTGTTTGTGATATAACTATGAATCATCATCGATACAATTAATACCTGTACATTTACTAACTTGATTAGACAAGGTTGTAACTAAAATGTTTCTTTAAAATGAGATTGCTGGTGCTTCAGATTTTCTTATAAACTTAAAAGTATCTTTCTTAATAAATACAGCTAATTTATAACTCCATCGGTTTCGTCCTTATTCATTTTAACTTCATTTCGACATGTTTTATTTAAAATCGGAGTTACATATATTTGTATGAAGCCATCTTCAAAAGTTAAATTACTAACAATGAAATATATGTTTACAGAGAAATTGTTAACAATGAAATATATGTTTACAGAGTTTATAAATTTTATTAATAACGAAAAAAGTGTGGACTCATCGGGTTTAAATAAATGAATTAATGTTAGATCAATTAGAACGTTGTCCAAACCAAGTTAGCTATTTCGTTACAATCTTAACAGGTTTATATATTGAAAATTTATGATGATTCAATTCATGAATAATACCACATACCTAAAATGCACGAGCGAGATTTTCTTTATAAATATATCGTGGATTTATTGCAAAAAGTCATTAATCGTTAGTGCATTTAGGTGTATTTAATTAGCTATATTTGATATAGGTAAACTTCCAAATTTGTTTTTGTAAAATTTGACCTTATTTTGTTATACAAAAACGCTGTAATTGCATGAAAATGACACCCACACACCGTTTTATTTATCATAAATTATTAAACTATTTGCACTATGTTCTGGTTTGCAGAAGAGAAAACTCATCAAAGTTCTTCATTATTTGAGGCTATGAAATGTCATTTCATTTAATGTATTTTTGCATTGAACCGACCATATTTTCTTAAATATTTAAAAAATAAAATAAAATTAGAATTTTTTTTACTCAAGGCTTTAGCTAGCTTTAAACATAGAAATACGTAAGCCATAAAGATAGGATCAAAGCAATAAATAGATTCCGGTGCTTTAAATAATATCAAACTATCACCACAGATTATTGCGATAAAAACACGCGTAACAAAATACCGGCGTTCTATTGAATCCGTGAAGGTCTCCTATTGAAACTGACCACAGCTTTTAAATCAGGCTAACTATAAATTACGTTTTTAAAGTCTATATACGCTCTTTCCATTTCTCCAATTCAATTTTAACACGAAAATGTTGAATTGAAATTACTATTGTCTCTGTTGTATTCTGAACGCTTATAAACGTTTTTCATGACAAACTAGCATCAAGATAAAACCAAAAGTGACGTGGTGCCTACTCACATGCCTCATAATTTCTATTAAAAAAAAGTTGAAAAAATTACGGTATTTGTTAACTAACATTTAATCTCCATAATAGAGAAAAATCAGAGACAACTAAAAGATATTGCTTATAGTCCGTGGTGCAGACAGCTTTTTATCAAATTATTAACATCCGCTTAAAACTTCGTGGATAGCTTCATCTTTTCGTAACCTACGATTTTTTTCATCACGGAAACTCTCGGAATTGTAACGTTTTCAATCTGGAGATCGACAAAGATTGTCTATTTAATTAGCCAATAAAACCTCATAAACACTTTAATCACTAACTCTCACTTGAATCGTGAGATAATTTGACCACGAAATCGAGAAAAAGGGTGGCATACAAAAATTTTGGGCCGTTGGACGAGACCCAACAGGTCAAAATAACGAGGTTGTACAGGCCATACGGCCCAATATTTTTATATGGCGACTTTATTTTTCAATTTTGTGATAAAATTATCTGAAGAAAATAAGTTGAAAGAAAATGAGTATTTATGAGTTTTAATACCTTATTAAATTAATTAATTTAACTAGAAAACGCCCAATTTCTAAGAATTTTCGTTGATAAAAAAATTGTAGGTTATGATAAGATTAAGACATTCACGAGGGGGATATTAATAATTTGATAAACAGTCTGAAGCACGGACTATTATTTCCATACTTCTATACCGTATGCATATAAACATTTTTCATGACAAACCGGCATTAAGATAAAATCAAAATTTGACGTAGTTGCTACTCACATCCGTCACGATTGCCAGGAAATAGTTGAAATTCACGGACCTTTGTTAAGCTTCATTTAATCGCCTCAATAGAGAAAAAATTGGAAATTCAGTAATACTGCTTAATTCCGCACTTGTATATTCATTATCTCCTATCCTATACCATTCCTTGCCTTGGTGGATATTATCACAAAGGAAAGAAAAGTATAGTTATCCAACTATCCTTTCAATCTTAATAAATTGCGTTATAAACAAGTATTATTACCTGACTAAGTAATGCGACAGGAGAGTTATGTGTTTGGACTGTCCGCTAAAAGCTATGTAACGCTTTTTTGAGTGAAATCCTTGATCGATTTTTAAAATCGATGGCTTAAATTATTTGATGAGATTTACTGAGTGTTTTGAAACAATTTGAGTTAAAAATATTGACCCACTATTAAATGAAATATGTTTAATCAATTTGCAAAAAGCTTTGTAACGCTTTTTTGTGCAAACGGCTGGATTTATTTTTAAATTTGATGGCCTCGTCATTCGGTGAGATCCCTTGTGTGTTTTGAAACAATCTGACCCGTGATTGAATAAAATGTTAATTTGCTAAAAGCTAATTAAATATTTTTTGAACGAACGGCTGGATCAATTTTCAAGTTTTGATTTATCAATATTGAATTCCGATGAGTGTTTAACAATTTTAGTTCAAAATGCTTACACGATATTGAATAATATGCGTTTAATCAAATTGCTAATAGGTATGTTGTTATTTTTTGAAAGTACGGTTGGATCGATTTTTAAGTTTAATATCTTAAATTATTTTGTGAGATCTAGTGTGTGATTTTGAATAATTGGAGCTAAAAATACTGACCCATGATTGAATAAAATGTTTTTAATTATTTTTCTAAAATATATATATATATATATATATATATATATATATATATATATATATAACATTTTTTTGAAGTAGCTGCTCTATCGATTTTTAAGTTTAATATCTCAAATTGTTCAGTCAGATCCTGTGAATCCTTTAAAAGAATTTGAGCTCGAAATTCTGACTGGTTACTGTGTAAAGTGTGTTTAATCTATCCACTAAAAGGTACGTAATGAATTTTTGAGTGGATGGTATAAACGATTTTTGACGGCTGTAATTGCTCTGTGAGATACCGTAAATGTTTTGAAACAATTCGTTCATAACATACTGAAAAACGTTTATTATAGTTTAAGTATCGCGATTATTAATTTATTTGAAATGATATCATGTGATCATATGTTACGAAAATAAATTTTAAAAACTAAAAATGTTAAAATAAGGAGAATTTACTTCCATATCTACTTAAGGCATCTCGGTAGATTGATAAGGATATTGACATCCAGAAATATTTAATTTTGGGGTAATAGTCGGATGCCTAACGCACTCCGAATGAAACTTAAGACGTATTTGGAACGAAATCTATTGTATTTGCCTGGAGTTGCAGTGTTTAGTGAAAAAACACCCCATTATTACACCAAGTTTAAATAGTCGTAGATGTCAATTTTGCTATTAATCTACCAAGATATTTAAGTAGATATTGAAGTACGTTTTCTTAGGGTGGATAGAATTTTCCAATTTCTGTAGCTGTTCAAATATTTTTTTATTCATATATACTATACTATTTCATCACAAAGTCAATAAATAATAATGGGTAAACAATATATTTATCGAAAATTTGATTATAAAACTTTTGTTACGAATATTGAAATATAACAATTGATAATATTTGCCTATCGAATATAATCGAATAAGAAATCTTGAAGAATAGATACTGTTAATGGAAGTTGCCTGATTTTCGAATTGGCTACACTACTAAATTTATTGTACACTAATTATGTTAATCATCCAAAGGGTAAATTGACTTGGTGAATTATCTTTCAAACCACACTCCCGACCCTGAACAAGTCTTTCAATTTTCAATCTATGAAATACAGTGATCCGACCGGATTTGAACTGATCTGCTATACGCAATAGATAAATAAATTTCGTACAAATATACGATATCCGCGTATAAATACCAAATAAGAATCACTCAATAAAATTTAAGGTTTTCATAAAAATTTTTGTTTTTCAAAACTTGAACAGTTTTACAAACAAACATTATAATATTTAAAAAAAAAATAGTTCCAAATATGAAAATAAGTTTTTCAAATTAAAGCCTCGAGGAACTTTTTAATAAGGATAAAAGTCATTTTTTAGATTGCCTTTATGGCGAAACGAACATAACTTTTAAATAGAAGCTTTATTAAAAAAAATATATTTGAAAAGTTGCAAGGGGAAAAATTCTAGTATCGAAAAAACAAGAAAAGAAAAAAGAAAAGACAGATTACAGACATACTGAAACTGATTAAAAATAAAAGTTATGGTTCTAAACCTCTATATAAACAACACAACAGTAGTGAAATACGTATATGTTATATACGAAAATAGATTTTAATGTATTTCAAAACGTTTTTTTAAATGTTGTAAAGCAGTAGATGTAGCAATATTCTTTAAGAAGTACCTGTGAGAACAATTTTTTTAAATGTAAAAGTTCTGAAAATATTTATTTGAAAAGTTGCAAGTGATAACGAGATATAACAGAAATAAAAAGAAAATAAATATTCCAGTCACACCGAAACTGATTAAAAATAAAAGTTATAATTTCATTTGAAGCCATCATATAAACAACATATCATCACTTGAATATGAATGTATTATACATAAAAGTATATGTTGATAAATCAACTCTGCAGTAAATATATCCCGAATGTAATTAATTTGAAAACTTGTTTTAATGTAGAAAATCGGCAGATGTAGCAAAATGTTTTGTGAACGTATCGCTTGAATCCCGCTTGTTATGACGACTTACCGCCACAGCAGATGCCACCAAGACGACAAGAAGAAGAAGATTTGTTCTGTTCATAGCGAGAGATGCTACTGATGATGGACAGAGGGACCTGGGCTTTATATAGCCGGCGGAGGTGGGGTTCCTCTCAGTCAAGGACCTGCCATCTCTTTGTCTCCTCAGGAAGTTATGAAGGGGGAAATTACTTCGTAAAACTTCAATAATAGAATCATTTACGATTGTTCGTATCGTGTCAACAAGTCCAACATTAATGGATATTATTATATAAATATTCTGACAATTACGCTAAATCGAAGAATTACAAACCTGTTATTTTCTAGTACACTCTCTATCTGGTGGAAGAGGTATATGGAATAAATTATTTATAAACAAGTATTTCTCGATTTTTTTTCAAAATTTACCACTTAACATTGTACAAATATAAATTTACAACAATTTCACTACCTAATTAAACACACGACTGTATCAACGCAGTAAAGATATAAAAGCAAAAAGAACAATTGACAGAAGATATTCAAGAAATTTAAAATTGAAAGCAAAACATTGAAAGATTATTTTATAGTCGTTAATGACCTCGTTGTTTTACGCCTCTAAGCCCCAACCAACAACAAAATTCAATCATTTCTCTACCCCAGAGGTAAAGGGCACAGTGTCCATTTTTGTATTTCGCTTCCTCAATACCGATGGTAGGAAAGTATTGTATTCGTGCGAGAGGGTAAAAAATTTTCCACTCGCTTTTTATGTTTCAGACATCAAGGATCAAATTTGGTTCGGTGTGTAACGGTGTGTTGGTTACATAAACTACGGTTTGTACGATTTTCATGAAATTTTCAGGAATTATGAGGGTTGGTGTCTAGATGGTCCATATCAATTTTATTAAATTCCATCCAGCACTAGCGCAAGCGTTAACGAATTTTTGTGGATATCCCAATGTTTCTATATTTTCAATTATAAAATTCTTTCAAAATTTATATTTAGTATTTTTTCATAACTCTTAATAATGAGAGATAGTTAATTATTTAAAATAAACTATATTAAAGGTACTTTAGGGGAAAACGCATGGCCACTTGAGCCCTGTAAAGTGACATCAATGGGGATAAGACCTAAGTGATATTAAAGGCCACTTAATTATACCATGATACACACCGAGCTTAATCAAAATCGTTAGAGTCGTTTTTGAAAAAAAATGTAAAAATGTATTTCACCGTTGATATAAAGTGGCACTTCCGGTTAGCCGATTATAGGAAAAAGTTGCAATCACATCTAAGGCATATACCTAGCTTAAATAGGTAATATCAGTTTCATAGTACATTACGTTTTTGAATTAGACTGTTAACATATACACACAAAGACCATTTTGCGGAACTTTTTTTTTTTTTTTGGTCCTCCCCTTCCTCGCCGTTACGGCTAAACCGGGTTTTCCCGTGCCAGGGAGTGTGGGCGGGGATTTAAAAGACTCCCTCGGCACCGGGACGCGAACTCGTGACTATGTTTATATCATTAGATTAATTTGTCGGGTTGCCGGGTAACGGCGGTGCTGTGCACACGCTTTGGCCCATTCGGCCACCCCGCCCACTCATTTTGCGGTCTCAGGATTTCGAGGGACTCATTTGTTTATTTCGACTCAGGAGACCTCAAAACATATATTTCCGTTGAAAACTCAGATTCGAACATTTTCACGATCGCAATACTTTCCCTTAATATATACATATATATAATACATATATAGGTTAGTGAAAGTAAAAATTAAAAAAAATTAAAATCAAGCACTAAAATTTGAAATTTTTATTTTCTATATAAATTCGTATCTAAGAATTTGAAAATGTACTGAAAACGGCTTTTTCTACCTAACGGCTCTATCTAACTTGCTTTTCGTATAACAAAAATTTACTTGACCTATTTTACGGGAAGCGCCTTCTATTTTTTGTAATTGAGAATACATTATGAATATTATTATTATTATCAATATCTTTCTATTAGATTGGTATATAATATCCGGGCAAAGCAAAAATAGATATAAATAGCATACATTTTGTTTGGATTTATTTAAAATATTTTTTCTCGGCACCTAGAGCACATTGGAACTGAAAATAAAATAGTTGATATCGGTGACCCTTCGACTGTAACGTCCACACTAACAAAATGTAATATAGCATTTTGAAAGTCCTTATTATTAAAATTATTTCAAAGAACAAACATTTTATTCGGTTTCAAAAAAAAAAAAATATCCATTTTTATTTATTTTACTCTCGTTCAATTGATAGTTACTAATTAATAGGTAATTAGTAATTTGGCTTTTGATGTTTTATTGGTTTATTAATAATATTTTATCTCGAATTTCAAATCAAATATTGCAGTCAAAACTTTATTATAGACAAAACGTAAGTTACAAAAGTGTAAGTGGCGTTACAAATTTTTAAATAAAAAAATATATTAACTCCTAACGGAGAGTCAATAGCACCTATAATTTCATTCCAGACGATTTAAAATGATACGAAAAATGTTACTGAACAAAGTAGTGAACTTTAACCTGAAAAGACTGTACTACAAATTTAGCCTCCCTTTCCGTATGTTCCCTGGCCTGCCACATTTCACAGCCAATATACTCTTAGCAATTAGTTATATTAATTGATTTGAAATACAGGCGTATTGAGAATAATACGTTTGCACATCCGAAAGTAGATGTTTATTTTGAAAGTAGCGGATCCAAATTTGGGCCAAAAAGTGTGGTTTTTGAGATACGAGGAAAATATGTTTGTGCAAAAGGAAGCATTGAATAAAATTAATACATTTATTTTTTACCAATCCCCAACTTTTCTCTACCTTTGAACTTGCTGTTTCTAAAACATAGGTGTTTCAGAAAATGCATTACGGCTGCGTAGTCGGAAGTATTTAGTGTTATTTGATGAAATCGATATGGGACCATCTAGTTCCCCACCCATACAATCTCAAGAAATTGTGCGATAGAAATACAATACAAATATGAATGAATGAAAATACAATGAAAATCGTAGTTGATTTGATAACCGATAAACTGACAGATAAAGGACCAAATTCATCCCTTGATCTCTAAAACGTAAGTTAAAATTTTCAACCTTGAGCACAATTTTTTTGTAATCTCACATACAATTACAAAGCTTCCCTACCTTTGCTAGCGAGAAATCTAAAGAAGACTTTTCTGAAAAGGAGGATTTTCAGCTTTTCTAAGTGGAACGGACCATGGTCAATATGTACTTTTTATTGCACTTGAGGTTTAGGTAATACTCCTTTAAATGTTCCTTATTATTTAAGGGATACTTTATATAGATAACCAGTTTTTTTTTTAAATTTGTTATTACTTTATTTATAAGGTTTTATAAGATCATGATAAGGACGATAAGAACGTATCAGTAACCACGTAAAACATTTGGAAAAATGAAGGAAATTACTCCAACATTTTCTGATGATATCATTTGCATTCAGTTTATATAAAGCACAGAGGCAAGCTTCTAAATAGGATAGATACAATATAAAATTAATGTAATGAAATTTATTTTCAAAGTATCATAAAAAAAAAATGGTTATACCAAACTCGAATTGAGAAAATGATGTTTTTACCGCGTACAACTATATTTTACGTTTTCAAGATTAGGTTCCGAAGAAAACCGCTATATAGGGTGTCCTTTAAGTGGGAGAAAATATTTAAAGGTATTACATAAGACCTCAAAAGGTTAAAAAAAAATTATATAAACAATGTTTAAATTGTTACAGAAACATAGGAAATTCAAGATTTATGTTTTGTTTTTTAAGTATGTCCCGTTTTAGTTTGTATAGTTAGCGATAAATAATTTAACAATTATTTATTTAATTTAAATAATTAACAATTGCTTATTTGCGATATTTTTTATTACCCTCCAACTATTCTAAACATACCACACTTTTAGGGAACAATCTAGTTTAATAACCTTAAAGTCTATATTAATTAATTTGAGGATTATTCCGAAATAAATTGAGATTCACTTCCAGTTGCTTAAAAAAATTATGTGATTTGAAATCCAATCATCTAAAAGTACTCGAATTTAAAAAAAAATCAGCAAAAACTACTACAATAATCTTTTTTTTCTAACCCCATTTTCATATTTGGTTTGTTTCTTTTATATACTGTAAGATGTTCCTTGTACTGTATCTTAGATACGTTTTAAGGTCCTGCTGAGCATTCCTCAGTTCTGTTTAATCTTTATTTCTTGACTTTTAATCGGAATGCTGGAGCTAACCACAATCTTGAAAAACAATTAATTATTGTAAAGACTTAATTCATATGCTTTCCATGACCTGAAATGTATTATAATAAACTAAAGTGTCTAAATACTCCATTTATAAAAAAAATGTTAAAATAATGATTATTCAACAATTTATTATCTAAAGTGATAATGAAACTGTATTTTTAAACCGGGTCCATATTATAGAACTTTGTTTTTGTAGAATTATAATTATTAACTAAATTTCCTAAATCTAGAGAGTGTTATAAGGAGCATGTTGTCCGGAAATTTGTCAATACATGAGTTCGGCTTTTTGACTATAGGTTACATTTGTGGCAGAGGGATCCAACATCTCCGTTGTTCTTGGTGCCCCGCAGGGAGGAGCATAGTTGAAGTTCAATTTCATTGCATTTGTCCATTCTGAGCCTGTAAGTCCATTCTTATCGTAAAGAAATTTATTGGTCTAAGGATTCGATTTTAAACGGAGCACACCAATTCCTTGCCACTTACATTTGCTCGAATCTCCAATCCTCCAAGGACTTTTTCCTCAGCGACTGTCTAACTTTCCTGACTGATAGTATTTGCTTCGATGCCTAACATACACACCTTAGAACTTCATCCTCGAAATCAAAAAACCGCCTGAAATTGGACATCTTGAACGTTGGCTAAATTCTGGGAAATTGACCACTGATGAAGAGGAGCCTCCCACTGACACCACAAAAGACCCAGGCCAAGGGATCGCCGCGGTGCAAACATTATAGTTCTTGTTAAACCTACCATTGCCTTAACACTTCTACGTAAAATGACCTCTATGGACTCCAAGAGCGATGGGGACAATTTCGCCAATGTCGCCGTCTGCAGTGGGTATATTAGGGAAGGGAAAACATATCGGTTAACAATATTAATCTTCGTTTTCATGGCGTTAAGATTTTACAAAATAAAATCCTATTTTGCACATTAATCTTTTATTTTGGCTTAAGGAGACTTGAGTTTATCAATTCTTGCATATTTCGATTTACCCTAGCCACAGAATCATCTTCAAACTAGCTCTCCAGATAACCGACACCCAAGATATTTGATAGAGCCATCTTCTTAAATTGATCTTATTATCTCTACATTATTGAAGCAAAACCTTGATTTTATTAAGCTTCCCTTCTCCAAAATAATCCCACAACTATTTGGGGGTTTGTGGACAATCCTGACTCAGAAACCTTTTCATGGACCTCAACTTAACATGAACTTAAAGCTTATTCAACAAGGAGGTCTTTGTAAAAATGTGATATCTCTACATAACAGCTGGAGGATGATAAAAAATAAAACTCAAATAATTTATGATTTGTTTAAAAATAGAACTTAAAAATCATCTTTAAATGGTTTCAGCAATGACAAACTCTACTTATTTTTTAATAAAATTTTGTCTAGTTTACTGTGAAGTAATTGTTACTTCCTACTCAACAAAAAACATGACACTTAAAAAACACAAATCTTGAATTTCCTACTTTTCTGTGAAAAACCGGACCGTTGTTTATATATACTTTTTTGTGGCTCTTGAGGTCTCAGGTTTAAATATTTCTCACTACTTACGGGACTGTATAACTATACTTGTACATATGGAAACGAAATAAATTGAATGTTATATCTAAGATATATAGATGTAGGCACTTAGAAGGGTCTTATTCATGATTCTCGTATTGTACTTTTAACTGAATCTTTTTTCAATAGGTGATACCTACTTAATTCTTTTTATGTGTTTCTATCTTAATTTTGATTATTATTAGCTGAATAGATCACTTTTTTACGACTCTTTTATTTTTCTTGTATGAAATTCGTGACTATAATAATTATAATTATACACTATACTGATCATTCATATGTGGAGGATACAGCGTTATAATGTGTCGGGAGGTCATTTGTACATTTATATATACATTAATGTCGTCGTAGATAATTTGATATGTGACATAAGAGGTAGTTATGAACTCAGATATACCTCCACTGTTGGCATCCTATTATTTCACAAAAAAAAAAAAAGTCCTGTTATAATTCAACAGGGTTTGCTTTTTGATCCATAATTGCACCTCCAACTTACGTTCTGGCTCGTGATATTTTAAATATAACCTAAATAAAGAGGCGACCACAATGAATAATCAATGTAAGCTGACTATATCGAAGCTTTTGTTGGGGTCACAATGAACCATCGGATTTGTTCGCTTTGTGTTTTTTTTTTATTGTTTTTGTTTTTTTACAAATCTTTAAGTAATTATTTCAAGTCACGTCGCATCGTTTAAAATTAAACACATTGCTATTCGTCGATCAATTGAATACAGATGTTATTCTAAGTAAGCTGAATAATACTACAGCTAGCAACATTTTTAAATCGAATACTCTTTTATTGTATTTATTCTATTTTACACATGTGACCCTAATGTAAGTATAAAAACATTTGTGAAAATAATTTTTATTATATCATGTTGAAACTTTTCCTTCGGCCTAAAGATCATTGGTAAAAACGTAAATAGTATCGGCAGACCTAGCTAAAATATTATTCATCCTTCAATGTCTTCAATGCATGTTTCGTATATTGCAAGGTATTAAGTGATTTGTTTTGAATAAATAAATAAATATCCTGTATTACGGTGCTATCTGTGAGACGAATCTTGGGTTCAATGCTTTGTAAGGGACTTTATTCCAATAGCCCTTGCGAATAAATAGTCATTATCTGAATAAATCCTTATATTTATTAGAATATTAATTTATAAGAATATTAAAGATCTGATTGATGTTTAAAAAATGAGAGTCAGTCAGATCACAACAATTTTTAGAAAAATATTATTCATATGAAAACAATTTACTCATATTTTAGGTGACATTAGACCAACTCGTGTATGTCAGTCTTGAACCAACAACAACTTTTTGAAAAATAATTTTAAGAATTAAGAATTAACGTAAAGGCAATTAATTTATGTTTTGAATAATCCAAGTCCATCTCCTGAATCAAACTACTCAATAAAGTTACTCCACCGGCTTATATCTGATATTTGAGGTCAGCAAAAGCTTTTCGAAAACCGAAATTTTGTCTTTTTCAATAAATGGAAATTTAAAAATAATATTTTTTTGCTACTCGAATGGTATTTTTATTACTAAAAATCTATTTAAAAAAAGAAACATTTAACCTGTATCGCCATAGTCCTAGTCGTCCTGGGCCAAGAAATAAGTTACTTTCTCAATTGATATCGAAAGAGGAAAACCCTAAAACCACATAGCTTCTAATTTTCTTTCCTTGATTCCTTACCCATAGTTTTGTGGATCCACGACAAGAGGATGAGGAAAATTAAGGTTGGTCCACCAATGCCATTAAATTGGTTCGATAAAGTGTGTGTGTGTGTGTGTGTTTGTATTTTTGTGTATGTGTGTGTTTGTATTTTTGTGTGTGTGTACGTATATGCCTGCGTATATAAGATACGTATTTGCCGTAGATGTGATTGCAACTTTTTTCTTAAAATCGGCTAACCGGAAGTACCACTATATATCAACGGTGAAACATATTTTTAGTTTTCTAAAAAACGGCTGCAACGATTTTGATTAAACTCGGCATATCATTGTATAATTAAGTGGTCTTTAATATAATTGACGTCTCATCTCCATTGATGCAACTTCACAGGGTTTAAATGCTTAAATGTTCAACATCTCTTCCTCTAAAGTACCTTTAATTGGGTTTATTTTAAATAATTAACTATCTCTCATTATTAAGAGTTACGAAAAAATGCTGAATAAAAATTTTGATAATTGAAGAAAAAGAAAAAGTTTATTAAGGTCGAAAATTAATTTCCGGAAATACTAGTCCGAAGATATACGTATAATATATCGTTGGAAAGCGGAGAATTGTAGTGATAACAATATTTAATATAGAAAGTCGTAGAAATTAATGGAGAGTGACGAAAAATTATAAATAATAATTTGTGAAATCTAATATCATTTAACGGAAATCACATGTTTTCAAGGATATTAAATAAAATTCTCTTAATAACTGTATTTTTTTTTTTAAGTTTGAAAGAAGCCTTTAAAATACATCTAATTAAGGCAATGGCATTGTTAAAAAACTATTTCATAGTACTTGTGTGAAAAAAGAAGTGGAATATAAAAATATTTCATGGATATACAAAGCATACCCTTATAACATTTACTATAGTTACTAATACTTTACTAGTACTTCAGTTAATAGTTCTAGATCTTAGAATCTATAAATAATTAGGTATCAACTTCCGTTTATTCCAAAAAATCGCCATGTGATTTAATTAGAAATAATTAACTTAATTAATAATTAATTAAATAATTTAATTATCGCTAACTTAATTGGGACATTAAGTTAGTGAATAATTTGATGAATTTTTCCTTTGTGAAATTCAAACATTATCCATTTAAAATTAGTGTGAAAACTTTTAACCTATCTATGGCAAGCAATGAAAATCTCATTTTAGATCGTCTCTTTTATATATCTCATCAAATATTATTTTAGTAAACTTTACAATGGAAAATAACAGTTTGATAACTGATTGGCGAAAAATCCATAATCATTTATAGGTTGAATATAGAGATATACTTTTAAATCTCAGATAATAATAATAAGGCTTAGCGAACCCGAAGGTTCGATGCCGACACCACCAATCGCTTGTTACACAGCTCCCTCCACCGTTCGCCGTCCAAACCCAGTCCCTTCAGATCAGCCTTAATGCAATCTTCCCACCTTCGCTTCGGTCTACCCCTCAGACGCTTACCATTCGGCACAGCAAATATTAACCTTTTAGGAATTCTCTCGTTACTAAGCCCAACAACTTTACAAGCCCATTTGATTCGCCCAGATGAAATTACCTCAATTATATTACCTGGATATAGCTCACGCAATTCGGCGTTGTGTAACCGTCTGAACTCTCCGATTAACTCATCCTTCTTCGGTCCGAATATTCTACGCAATACTTCATTTTCAAAAACCTTAAGACGCTGCTCATCCCTTAATGTAAGCGGCCAAGTTTCGCATCCATAAAGAACTGTAGGCAAGATAATTGTTTTAATAGATTCTAATTTTTAAGTTCCGGGACAAGAGGCGCGAACTGAGTAGTTTTGTCACAGAAAAATAACAAGCATTTCCCGCCTTCAGTCTAACCTTAATCTCTTCTTCTATTTCGTTTTTTCTAGTTATCGTAGAACCTAGATACCTAAATTTATCTACCTGTTCAAACATATTACCATCTATATCGATATCACCATAGTATCGCCATTTTTGCAGCTAACCATATATTTTGTTTTATCCACGTTTATTTCGAGTCCTAATTCTTTACCGGCTTTCATTAACGTTGTCGTATTTAGTTTTATAGTTTCCACGTCTTCGCTTAACAGGACCAGATCATCAGCATAGCCCAGCACGGATGTTGTCCCGCCCAGATCCAACCCTTTCTCGGTACGCATTACCTCCCTAATGGCATGTTCTAATGCCAAATTGAACAGGACAGGCGAAAGAGAATCCCCCTGTTTTAAGCCCGAACGAACCTCAAATTTTTCGAACAAATTATTCCCGATTCTAACTTTATTATTATTATTTTATTTATTAATTATTATTTTATTTATTAATTTATTATTATTATTTTATTATTATTTATATTATTTTATTTATTCATAAATCTCAGATACTATATATATATATATATATATATATATATATATATATATATATATAGAGAGAGAGAGAGAGAGAGATCAGATACCGGAGTTATGTGGTTTACAAGGAAAGATGGAGGTCTGAGGTTTTATCGTCTACCGTTGATGATATAATTAAGGTTTTTGTTATTTTAGTGATCATAATGATTTATTAGCTGAAAGCTTTAAGATATAGCTCCGTTAAAAATGCACCTCAAAAATGTTATTATTGCTCAACATTGCTAGAAAATAATTTCTATTCAAAGTAGAGAGGTAAGTGAAATTTATGTGTTGTGCGCACCAGATTTTTGAATATGTATCCAAAAACAAATAGTACCCTCAATACACCGGCTTCGACAATAGAGTTTTTTTAAAACTTGGAGTAGACACATTTTCCACTATTTCCAACTTTGTTCAATTTGTTCCATTTCTGAATCCAAAAGACATTAAAACTTCCTTTGCTAATAATTTAAATGGTTTTATTTTTCAAACAATGGAGAAGGCGGAAGTGTAATCGCTTCCCGTCAAAGCGTGGAACGCAGATCCATTCTTCACTTAATAATTCAATAATAGAAATGTTCTTATATATTAAGAAAAGGAGTTTCTCAGTTAGTAAGGTCTTGTGTTGATATTCTCCAGAGTCCAGGTTCAAGTCCGGTCGTCACCAGGAGTGCCCATCCCCCCAAGGTCGATGGCGCATGAACCACCCTCTCTCAAAATTGTGTTACTCTCCTCTTCTTAAAAAAAGTGCAAGCGAAAGTATGATTAGACAAACCGTAGACTACATGCAATAAGACTTGCTGTGATTTGTTCCATGCCTTCTTCCTAGTTCTGTTTAGAAAATTTTCACTCGGAAAATCCATAACCCCGTAGAAATGCGCCCAAAAATTCCAAACCAAGTCAAAATGTGTCCCTCACAAAAATTTTGATGCCGCCCCCTTCTACACACTGCACTCTGGTCGTGACAAATGATTATTTATTTTTTACAGATTTCATTAATGATCGTCGTTCATTTAGTATAAGTGAAAATATGGGTTTAAATATGTACATATTTAACTTAATTGTTGCGCTGGCAGTAAAATGAAGACCACACGATGTGATAAAGGAAGGATCAATCTATAGAAAGTCAAAGACGCGGGCGATGACTGATAGCGACATTTCTACACCTAGAACCATTGTGCTAAGCTTTAGCCATTATCATCTGGCACACTTCTTAATCGCTCATCGATGTAACGCAAGTTTAGATTGTGTAAGTCCTCATCTTACTTAACCTAATTAAGATAGCGGTACACCCCTAAGCTAACTTCAGATCTAAAAAGTGCTTGTCTATTCCGTAGCGAGATAGGCCCATATCACTTCCATCTTCAATCGTTAGATTCTTTTATGATTACGACTTTATCGTATTTATTAACGCAAGCATCTTCAGCGTTGGTAGAGCTAAAAGATAAAATTTAATTTAAAATGTCTGCAAAGAAAGTCAGAATAACTTCCTCTATTGTTCCTTTATATTGAAAAAAGTAAAATAATTTATCTCTCTTTTATTCCGTTTTATTCTAAATTTACATTTACACTCTACATTAATGTATGATCATCCTTTTTCCACTTTGTATTCATTTTACTTATTAGCCATGTCTCAATATTATCTAATATTCAAATATAATTTTCTTACATATGTACAACCAAATATAATTATAATTATTAATTTTTCCCTCTCTATACTTTTAAGTTAGTTCTGCAATGTATGTAAGTAAATGAAGTTATTTCTATATTCATATTTAACTTTTGCCAATTTTGGGTTTACTCACATTGTACTCTGATCTATAATCTCTCAATTCTATCTTATATATATATTTATATATTTATAATTTAATATTTCATAGATATAGTATTTTTCCATTGTATCCATCCATATCTTCAAATTTTAGATACTGTAATTTCCTAGGTTTTTCAAAATTACCCACACATGTTAGCTTCCCCCTATACCTACTCTTACCCTTGTTTTCCAGTTCTAAGTGAAACTCCTAGCTGAACACACCTGTAAGTCTCTAATTTTATTCTTCCATTTTATCTACTTATTTATCTAATTTTGGTTTCCTTTTTTCTTTTCTTTCTCCACATTCCTTTATGTCTATTATTTCATATTATATCCTTTTTCTTTATCTTTCAATCTCTCATGTAGATTTGTAGAAGTATATTCACATTTTCATTTATTATATATTACACTACAACAATTGTTAGCATCTATTTACTTCAGTTTAGGATCTTGTTGCTCAGCTTACTTTGTTCATTTTTTATTGTACTTACTGTTTATAATTTTAATAAGCTTATTCACATTGTTTATAAATTATGTCTAAATATTATATAACTGCCACAATTCTCTATCTTTTTGTATCTTGTCCGTTCTAGCCCTGAAGAAGACCTGCAAAGTCGGGTCGAAACGTCGGCTTTCAATAAAATAGTTTTAGCACTAATTAGCCTATTTATGACCGCAACC